TTCATACATTTGTTACCTTAATTAGACTTTCCTTTTCCTGAAAATGATATTCCTGTTCTGAGTCACCAACTTAGAGCCATGTTTTAAAAACTTGTCTATCATCAAAATTTTCTGTATCAGCAGATCTTCTGCAAGTCTGCAAGATGACAGGATATGGACCTTAAAGTTTTGTTTTATTTTATATTAAATTTTTATATTAATTTTTGATATTCTGCAGTCTTTTTTCTTTAGGAGTGTCATCATAAAAATGTTTCCTTTTCCCAGATAAGTAAAATGGACTTTCTAACACTTTCCATTCTTTACCTTCAGAGTATGTGTACCCTATTTAGCACCTCAAATCATCCCAGGTGCTTTATCTTATCCTGTATATTCATTCTGTCTGCACATCATCTTGATTCTGCCTCTACAGTGCTTTTAGTTTTTTTTATTTGATCTACTTTATCCTGGTTTAGCGCCTCATCCGCTCTTCTTTCCTTTCTTCCTATTTTGTCTCTTTACTGTACTGCTGACTCTTCCTTGAGGAATATAGTTTTGTATTTATCATTTCCCTATTCCATGGAGGCTCCTTTTTGAAATCTTTACAACAAAGGTAACTCTACCTCTCAACCCTTTCCCCTTACTCTCAGATGTCCTTTGATTTTCTTCCTATTTTCCTTCTTTCTTTCCATTCATTTTGGGGCTCTAACCCAGGGCCTCCTGCACGCTAAGCAAGTAAGCATCTTGACTTACTTTCTTTAGTGTTTTGGGGTTTTTTTTTTCAGACTAATGTCTTCCCTACTCATATTTGACATACTCACCCATTTAACTATTCAAATATACTTGAATATTTATCCTTACCCCCAATCTAGGAAAGACATTCTGTTTGACTTTCATGGTCCATATGGAGAAGTGCTACTTGAGAGAGGCTTTTTTTTTTTTTTTAAACAGGTTTTAAAAATAGCTTCTTTTATTTTTTTTTAAATTAATATGTGCATTAAAGGAAAAATAGAAACACAAGCAAAGAATGATGTTATCCACTCATAAGCAGCTTAGTTGGTTGCATCCCCACAGGTTATATGTATACATACACAACATTCCATTTTGTGTGAATGAGATGGTAGTGTGTATCATGCTTTCCCACACATCATATTTACCAATTGAAATCCCAAAGCTACATGAGTATTTTTGATAACCAAGAATACACCACACCAGCTGGGCCCTATAGTTCACTACTGTAATCCCAGCAGCTGGGGAGGCTGAGGCAGGAGGATTAGGGGGGTTCAAAGCCAGCCTCAGCAACAGCAAGGCACTAAGCAACTCATTGAGATCCTGTCGATAAATAAAATACAAAATAGGGCTGGGCATGTGATTCATTCTTCAGTTTCTCCTGAGTTCAATTTCCTGTACTCCCTGAAAAAGAATACGCTACACCAACTCAATCTGTTAAAAAAAGTTGTATTCCTTTCTTGGGGACAACACATTTTCCCTTAAAGAAGAGGAAAGGAAATAAACCTTACATTTTCCGGAAACACCTAACATGATGTTTTTGTTTTTTTGTTTATTTTTTTTTGTAGTGGAGATTGAACCCAGGGGCTTTACCACTAATATACATTCTAAGTCTTTTTGTTGAAATTTTTATTTTGGGTCAGGATCTTGCTAAATTGCTCAGCCTGGCTTTGAACTTGTAATTCACCTGCCTCAGCCTTCCAAGTTGCTGGAATTACAAGCAAGTACCACCTTGCCCCGCTCCTAGCATAGCGTTTAGTATATGACAATTTTATAAATTTTATTTATTTTTGGGCACTGGGGATTGAACCCAGGGTGTATTGTATGCCAACAAGCACTCTACTACTGATTTATATCTCTAGCCCTGTTTATTTTATTTTGAGACACTAAGTTGCCTAAGGCTATCTTTCAACTATCAATCTTCCTGCTTCAGCTTCCCAAGTAGCTGGGATTATAGGCGTGTGACATTTATCTATCTACCTACTTATTATCTTTATCTTATTTATTTATTTTTATGTGGTGCTAAGGATTGAACCCAGGGCCTTCCATGTGCTAGGTGAGCACTCTATTGCTGAGCCACAATCCCAGCCCCATGACATTTATTTTTGTCACTAACTAAATTTTAGTTATTTGTATACTTTCTTCTTTTCCTAGGTGTTTTTTTTTTTTTTTTTTTTTTTTTAATGGCAGTGCTGGAAATTGAACCCAGGGCTTTGTGCATGCTAAACCTTTGGGACAGAGACTCAAATCTTTGTATCTTTGGCAGGGATAGTTTCTTCTGCCTTATGGGGCTCCATGTAATTTTGGAAGTAGACTGATGATTGGTGAAAGTTTAAAAGATATAAAGTAGCAACTATGATAATTAGCTGATGGAGTTCTTAGCTTCAATTACTAGTTGGCTAATTATGGACAGATTTTTCAGTTATTTCACTCTTTTGTGCTGTCCTTGCTTTGAAGTATTAGCATATTATACATTTCAGGGTGAAAGGATTAGCTCTTAAATAGTGATATATTGAAAGAATTTGAGTATTTTCTTAATAATTATTTTTTAAAGTTATACCATAGTGATTTTTTTCTGATTTTTAAGTTCAAATATACTATCTGGTGTTTTTTGCTTATTTGTTTTACTATAACTGGCTAATGTGGTGTCTTCAGTAAAGACTGCTTATTGATATACCTTTATAATTCAAATTTTGTGTTTGCTTGGTTGTTACTAGAACTACACTGAATTGCATTTGGTGAAATATCACTCATGATGTAAAAATTCACCTTTGTGATTACCTCTGTTGCTGTAGCCACCAGGTTACTAGGCACTTAAACCAACTAGGATTTTAATTATGTTGCAGTTCCTTTGGGAAACTTCTTGCCACATATCTAGGTTATTAATTGGTCTCCATATGATGTTTTCTGAATTAAGTATTTATGACTCTCTGTCTTTCAGGCTGGCATGGCTCTGTATAAGATTGTCCCCAAAAACCCTTACTACTTTTGGTCTGTGATGAGCTTAATTATGCAAGTGAGTATGGCATTCAGAATGGAATTGAGGTTTGTCTTTAAAATCATCATATTAATGTGTCTTCTGAATTTCTTGGGTAATGAATTGCAGTGAGTGTATCAAACAAGGACTTTACGTCTTGTCAGTTGACTTTTTTTTTTTTTTAACCCCAGTAGTGGGGATTGAACCCAGGGGTGTTCTATCACAGATCTACATCACCAGTACTTTCATTTTACTTTTTATTTAAAGACAGGGCCTTATTAAGTTCTGAAGGCTGGACTAATTGCAATCTTCCTACCTCAGCCTCACAGGTTTACAGACATGTGCCATTGTGCTGGCCTATCAGTTGACTTTTTAAGTTGGGGATATTTGGTATTCTTTTTGAGTTGGTATATTAGTTTATTTGTATGCAGCATGGTGTATTTCCTGAGGCTTTGATCCATTGCTGGGTTGTTTGATCAAGTTAACTGGAAGTGTTTGGTATTTTAATCTGATGTTTATTTTAAAGACAAAACTGTATGTTAGTGAGCAGAGCATTGAATTGGGTGGTCTTGCTTAAGCATTTCTCCTTTCTGAGCCTCAGTTTGCTCTTTTGCAGAATGGAGACAGTTATCTCCCAGAACTGCTGTAAGGATCAAAGTGAGATTTTTATGTAGGAAAGGATAGGGAGGAAGGAGGTAAAATGTGGTGATTAAGAACAGATGTTCTGGGGTCAGACATGTCTGCCTTCAGATACATGTGGCTTTTACCACATGAGCTTTTAGGGGAATGTTTTAACCTTAATTTCTTTATAATATTTACCTTGAAAAGTTGTTTGCAAGGGGTGAGTTCTGAGCAGAATCTCCAACAATGTTAAAATTACTAATGTGTTAATTTTAATTATCAATTTAAATTAACTAATTAATAATAAAGTGCAGGAATAAGAGGAATTGGCATTTCTCTTCTCAATATGTTAACATCTTTTTTTAATATTTACTTTTTGGTTCTATTAAAATCTGTTTTATTTTTATGTGGTGCTGAGGATTGAACCCAGTGCCTCATATATGTTAGGCGAGTGCTCTACCTCTGAGCCACAATGTTAACATCTTTTAAAAAAAAATATGTGAGGGGGCTTAAGAAAAAAAAAAGATATCCATAAAGCTTTCTTTTTCAAACACCTGACTATATCCTTGATCTTTACATATTTCTAGAGAAATGTATGAAAAACCTATTTAAAAGTTATGTCATATCATGGAAGTTCTGTATTTCAAGAATGCATGGGGTAGCGATTCTTTTTTTTTTTTTTTTTTTTTTTTTTGCTTTGGGAATTGAACCCAGTGGGGGTTCTACCTCTGAGTTACATCCTCTGCCCTTTTTATTTTTTATTTTGAGACACGTTCTCACTGAATTGCCTAGGCTGGTCTCAAACTTGGAATCCTCCTGCCTCAACTGATTGAGTAGCTGGAATTACAGGAGGGGTACACCACACCACACCTGGTAGGATGATGAATGTTTAGTAAAGAAATCTCTTGTAAAGCCAACTACTCTATAATGTATAACTTTGGCAGATTTAGATTAGGTCTAATGTATGACACAGTGGATTGATAAGTGTGTGCCAGAATCACAGTAATGGTCTTCATGATAATATTAAATAGTTCAAGCAGAGAATTAGAATTCAATATGTATCTTCCCTCTTCTAGTCTATATCAGCACAGGATGAAAACCTCTCAAAAACGATGTTTCTGCCCCTTGCTGAGAGAATGGTAGAAAAAATGGTGAAAGAGGACAAGATAGAAGCTGAGGCTGAAGTGAGTGTTTTAAGCCCAACTTTTGTACCACTATTTTGAATTGCAAAATTATGTACTGTTGTTTTGTTCCATCTGTATAGCTGGGTTTCCAGTCTTGTCATTTCTGTATATGTGAAGCTTTGGAAGTTCTCTGTTTAGGTTTAATGAACACTGAGCTGTCTCTAGCAAATATTGCAAGCTGAGATGTGTATGGATGGGGAAGACACTGTTGTCTGATTATTACTATCTTTCACAACACACTACGAAATCAGTCAGGGTCACTCCAGGAGAACTGGGCTAACACAAATTAATGACACAGACAGAAAAATACCTTTTTCTTTGGGTTCTGTGATTGCCCCTCTGACTCAGCTCCCACAAAGGAGGCAAGGCAGGAAAGAAAGAGGGGGCATGCCTCAAACCCAGGTTTTATTGGGGGAGGCTGTTCAAAAGAACATTACATTCATATTAGGCAGAGGGGTAATGATACAAGGGGCAGCCCGCTTGCATTAGGTAATGCCCACTCCCAAAGCTGTGCTCTTCTGCTGAGTGGAAATGGGGATCTACTTCCCTCCCTGTCAGGGAAACCAGTCTCCACATTTTCATCACTCAAAGCTAAGGGATACTCAGCTCCTGTGTGGCAGTTTCCGACGGCTTCATCTCATTAGAAGATAGTATCATTTTCTATTATTTTAAAAACTTTCGTATGACTCTTTTATTGAAAAGTTTCAATGATTACACTTCTTTATTTCTTCTACAAGGTTGAACTTTATTACATGATCCTGGAACGACTGGGAAAGTATCAGGAAGCCTTGGATGTCATTAGAGGGAAATTAGGAGGTAACTGTTATTAAAGTTTTCCTTTTTTTTTTAAATTTTTATTTTTAATTATAGACGGACACAATACATTTATTATTATGTGGTGCTGAGGATTGAACCCAGTGCCTCACATGTGAGAGGCAAGTGCTCCACCACTGAGCTATAATCCCAGGCTCCTGTTAAAGTTTTCTTAGAGTATTTTTTCCTGTTAAGACAGGAAAATTGTTAATTGAATCCTCTATATGAAGAAAGTCCTTCCTCATACAGAAACAAAGATATGAAGATACAAAAGAAAAATCATGTATGATTGTCACCTTGTTATATTTTGTACCAGGGATTAAACCCATGGGCACTTAACCACTGAGCTACATTCCCAGCTCTTTTTATTTTTTATTTTGAAACAAATTCTCACTGAGTGCTTAGGGCCTGCCTTGGTAATCTCTGAGATTGGTCTCCAATTTGTGATCCTCCTGCCTCAACCTCTCAATATGTTGGGATTACAGTCACGTGCCACCATGCCCAGCTAAACAACTGTCTTTTTTAGTTGTAGATGAACCCAATACCTTTATGTTATTTATTTTTATGTGGTTCTTAGGATTGAACCCAGCGCCTCATGCATGCAAAGCAAGCACTCCCACTGAGCTACAACCCTAGCCCTAAATTATTTTTTGTGGGGGGATTACCAGGGATTTAATTTAGGGGCACTTGACCACTGAGCTCAGCCCTATTTTGTATTTTATTTAGAAACAGGGTGTCACTGAGTTGCTTAGTGCCTCGCTTTTGCTGAGGCTGGCTTAGAACTCCCAATCCTCCTGCCTCAGCCTCCTGAGGTGCTTGGATATCAGGTGTGTGCACCTAAACTACTTTTTTTTTTTTTTGGTGTGTGTGTGGTGCTGTGGATTGAACCCAGAGTCTTCTGCATGCGAGGCAAGCACTATGCCGGCTGAGCTATATCCCTGGCCCCTGAACTACTTCTTTTTAAAATTTATTTATTTATTTATTACATTTGAATCAGACGGGATATAATTATATCCCATCTAAACTACTTTTTAATTGAAAATAATTTTTGGATTCAGAAAATTCAAGGAGTGTGGAAGATATCCTAGATCTAAACACCTACCCCAAAGTCTCTTTCATTTACTAGTTCTTTATATCCTTCAAAAGGTACATGTTCCCCTCCATTTTATTTTTTGGTACTAGGGGTTAAACCCGGAGCCCCTTTACCACTAAGTTACATCCCCAGCCCTTTTTATTTTTTTATTTTGAGTTAGGGTCTCATCAAGTAGCTTAGAGCTTTGCTTAGTTGCAGAGGCTGGCTTGAAACTTGCTATCCTCCTGCCTCAGCCTCCTGAGTCGCTGGAATTACATGTGTGGGGGTTGTTTTGTTTTGTTTTTTAAATATTTTATTTACATTTTAGTTTTCGGCAGACACAACATCTTTGTTTGTATGTGGTGCTGAGGATCGAACCTGGGCGGCACGTATGCTAGGCAAGCGCGCTACTGCTTGAGCCACATCCCCAGCCCCTTGTTTTTGTTTTTTAATTAACATTTTTTCAATGGTTCATTCACAGTCAATGAGAATAACTAACTGTATATGAGTAGCCCCATATCTTTCATTAGGTGCATTCATAAAACGACTTTGTTTAATACAGGCATATGTATCCTTTAGTAGATTATATACAGTATTGAAACTGTAATGCTATTAAATTGTGTAGAATATAGAAATTATTATTTAAATTTTTAATATTTATTTTTTAGTTGTAGTTGGACACAGTACCTTTATTTTATTTATTTATTTTTATGTGGTGCTGAGGATCAAACGCAGGGCCTTGCATCTGCTAGGCAGTTGCTCTACCACTAATCACAATCCCAGCCCTATTGTTATTTTATTTTTTTAATATTTATTTTTTAGTTTTCGGCGGATACAACATCTTTGTATGTGGTGCTGAGGATTGAACCCAGGCCGCACACATGCCAAGCCAGCGCGCTACTGCTTGAACCACATCCCCAGCCCCATTTTTTCTTTTTTTCCCAGAGTGGAAAGTAGAGGCTTTATTAAAGGACAGCAGAAAAGACTTCTCCCGGAGGAAGAAGGGGACCCAAGAGATGGAATCCCCCCATTGTTATTTTTATTGTAACTTATTCTCTAACTTTAGCATTCTTACAGATGGGTAAAATTCTACCATTCTGTTTTTATTTAGCTAGATTATAAATCTATGGATAATTAAATTTTAGATTCTGTAAAGGAAATTAATAATGTAATTATTATTATCCTAATTTGCTAAACTATCCTCAAAGGACAAGGCAAATCTTATCTTGTCAGTACTCTAGTCCCATTTTTTTTCCTGTTCCTAATTGTTGGGAAAAACTCAATCACTTCTCATTTTTGTCTTCCATTTCACTTTGCTTATCCTATCAGCCCAACCCTCCTTAATGTTTTAGGACTATACAGATTGAATAAATTTACCAGTCTTTAGATACTATTGTTTTTTGTTTGTTTGTTTTGAGTAACGGGGATTGAACTCAGGGGCACTCAACCACTGAGCCACATCCTAGCCCTATTTTGTATTTTATTTAGAGTCAGGATCTCACTAAGTTGCTTAGCGCCTCGTTATTGCTGAGCCTGGCTTTGAACTCGCTCTCCTCTAGTCTCAGCCTTCTGAGCTGCTGGGATTATAGGCATGCGCAATCATGCCCATTAGTATTGAGTTTTATAAGCCTGTCCCACATACTCAATCCTCAGCCCAATATATTGTGGATCCTTGTGTTTTACTGAGAAAGTTATAAAAATTTAGGGTCAGAAATATTCTTTTTCCTGCATATGCTATCGTGCATGCTTATAAGGCTGGGTCAGGAAGATTTTGAAGTTGAAGCCATCTTGGGTAACATTGAGACTCTGTCTGAAAATAACAATAACAAAAATTACGTAATGTATTTTTTTCTCTTTAGCAAAATAACTATTATAAATTAGTAATTTATAGCTAATAGTGGTAATATTTTCTTAGAGTGTGAATGAAAAAATGTGACATTTTTCTTGTGATTTGACTTTATTCTGGTTGTAAGTAGAAATGAAAGCAGTTCACCAACTTTTATAACTTTTAATTGCAGAGAAGCTGACGAGTGAGATTCAGAGTCGGGAAAATAAATGCATGGCTATGTATAAGAAGCTCAGCAGGTGGCCAGAGTGTAATGCCCTTTCCAGGCGCCTCTTACTAAAAAAGTGAGTAGATGCTGCTTTTTGTGCTATGAGACTGCAGTGAGGCTTTAAGACCTCACTGTAGACACATTTTATTTGTGTATTTTGAGATTGCTGGGCATAGAATATTCTTGTAGTTATGTTCTGGATGTGTTTTCAATGAGCCTTCATCTTTTAGTAAAGAGAGATAATGGTACTTTTACCACCGTGATGCTAAATATTAGTTGAGTCTTGAGAATGAATGTTGAAAATTATTATTTGTCAAATTCAGTAAAGCTTAAAATAAGGCTTCCTTCCTACCTATGGCACCTCCAGTTTGATATTGCTATGTGGGGAGTTTTCTAGACATGGTCATTTTATTGAAGTACAGAGTAGTCTGTTTCAAGTTTTTACTTTGAAAGTGACACTGGAGTGCTGCCCTTTTAGGGCTGCAGAGGGAGGGGTGGATTATTCTTGCCACATCCGAATCTAAAACTTAGAAAATTAAGTTAACATCATGGTTCCTAAGGCAGATTTGTCACAACTTGGGTTTAATCCTGTGTGCATCATTCAATCTGATTTTAGCTCAGATGACTGGCAGTTCTATCTGACTTATTTCGATTCTGTCTTTCGACTGATTGAAGAGGCCTGGACTCCTCCTGCTGAAGGTGAACAGTAAGTCATCTTTTTTTCCTGAATTATAGTGGCTTTTTTTTTTTTTTTTTTTTTTTTTTTTGGTACTGGGGATTGAACCCAGGGGCACCTAACCACTGAGCTACATCCAAATCCCTGACTCTTTCCCTTTTTTAACCCTTAATTTAGAAATAGGTTCTTGTTGTGTTGCTTAGAGCTTCCTCTCTCAGTTGCTGAGTCTGGCTTTGAAATTACAATCGTCCTGCCTCAGCCTCCTGAGTTGATAGTATTACAGGTGTGTGCCACCACGCCCAGCTATAGTGTCACTTATTATTATTATTATTTTTTAAAGAGAGAGAGAGAACTTTTTAATATTTATTTTTTTTTTAGTTTTTGGCAGACACAACATCTTTCTTTGTTTGTGGTGCTGAGGCCCGAACCCAGGCCACACACATGCCAGGCCCAATAGTGTCACTTTTTAATATGTGGTAGCTTAAGAATTTCATTGTCAGTCATTTTAACTCTCCTTTTCTGTCTTATAATATATTCCTTTGAAAGTAAGAATATCCCCCCCCCCCTGCTTTTTTTTGTGTGTGTGCATGTGTGTGCTGGGTATTCAGGGGCACTTGACCACTCAGCCACATCCCCAGCCCTATTTTGTTTTGTATTTAGAGACAGAGTCTCACTGAGTTGCTTAGCACCTTGGTAATTTGCTAAGGCTGGCTTTGAACTCAGGATCATCCTCCTGCCTTAGCTTCCCAAGGTTACTGGGAATCAGATTTACTGGGATTACAGGTGTGTGCTACCACACTAACCATTTTTATTGTTTTATAATTATCAAGGTGTTGTTTCTTGTTGGAAAATTTTTTCTTAATAATTTAATTTGACTTTTAACTTGGGGAAGGATAGTAGAGACAATAACATCTTTTTTCATGTGTTTATTTATATCTAGCTCTTTAGAAGGAGAAGTACATTATTCTGCAGAAGAGGCTGTGAAGTTTATAGAAGATCGGATAACAGAAGAATCTAAAAGTTCTCGCCATCTCCGGGGACCACATCTAGCTAAATTGGAGCTGATCAGGCGCTTACGAAGTCAAGGTTGTAATGATGAATATAAACTAGGTAAGAAAATATGATATTTGGGAAAACTGGAGAAGATACAGGGATACCCTTAGTACTAGAGTACAGTATTCATTATCTGAGGCTTATATTGAGAAAGTCATGTTGAGGAAGGAAACATCTTTATTATCTGAGAATATTTACTAATGAATGAATCATAAAATTATTTCTCTGTTACTCATTCAATTTGGCCTAATGTTTTCATTTTTTCCTGTTCCATCAGAGCTGTTGCTAACACAGTAAAGTTAAATCAGTTCCAATAAAAATTTCCAGGTTTGTGAGAGTTTTAGGATTTCGTGAAGTAGATGAAAAGTTGTCTTAAATCTGTTCCAAGCACTCACAAAACTAATGACAAAGGACTACTGGACAGAATGAGAGCAGTTAGCAGCTAAAGAGAAATTTTAAATTTCTTCTTTTTTTTTTTTTTTTTAAGTTTAAATTTATAAAGGGAGCAAAGATTGATACCAATAGTAAAGCATTAAGAGAAGCCTTTAGGGAATTTGATGAAGCCCTTAAATGTTTTATAAATTAGTTTCTTAGCATCTCATCGAATCAGAAATGTAAGATGTTATATTGTGCTAGTTCATGATTTTGTTGACCCCCTTGCCAAAAGCAGCTACTTCTCATACTGAAAATTACCTTACAGTTTTAATAATACCTGATTTTTGCTAATTTTTAATTTTTTTTTTTT